TAGATGACCCAATATTATAACATACATATGTATTTGTTCTTTGTTCAATTTTCTTTGAATACATTATATTTATTCTTATGTACTTGTTATTCCTCATATTTTTATAGTTACAATAATATAAATCATAAAACTAATCGTACATGTTACATCTGTCACGTGTGACATCCCACGCAGTAGCAATTAAAGCGTTTACGGTAAAATCAACAGGCACTATATTCGCCTTGTAAGCGCCATTACAGTGGTGAAATCTTACGATACCGAGTAGCAAACTCCTTGCGAAACCTGATGGCCCATACATATTGTCGATCCAACCGATAAGTGGTTCACTGGCGCTAGATATAACTAAAACGAATCTCAATTATTCCTCTGCGTAGACGCATGAATATTTATATTAAATGTACGCAAGCATGCACGCACTCCACGCTTGTATATAGTCATTTTAAAATTAAACTTTCTCATTATATAGAGTGTGTTCTAAGTACGCTAAAAGACTTTAAGGGATGATTCCTCCCACAAAAAGGAATTGACTTCGAAGAAGAAAACCTCAAGACAAAAATTCCATATGATCATGTCTTGTAACAGTTTGATTTCAAAGGTATATGATATCAAAATAACAAAAAGATGTTTTTTCTTAAAATCTTTCGGGTTATTTTAATGTATATTATTTAATATTATATGAATTATATATCTTTATATGTGTTTAAAGGACATGAAGCCGATTATCTTTTGAGGTTATACATTTTTTTTCATTCAATTAGAAGCAGACAAAGATAAAGCGGATAATGCTTTTTTTATGAAAAAAATTGATATGCCATTGATTTTTTTATGTTCAAAAGTTTTTTATGATAAATAGGATATCATCAGAAAAGCATTCGAAAAATTCACAGAAAAATGTATCTGTAATATTTTCGATAGAATAAGTCATTTCTGAGATCAATATCAAATAAATCGTAATAAAATCATAATCAAATAAAATTTTTAGAGTCTACACATTTGAATTTATTTTTTTCCTCAAAATGATTATTCTATTGAAAATATGTAAGAAACGTTTTTTTGTTCATTTATCATTATCCCAATTATCTTAAAAAAATGTTAAACTTAAAAAAAATCAATGACGTATTAATTTTTTTCAGAATAAAAGCATACCCACTTATCCTTGAGTCCGGCTTTGATTGAATAAAAAAATAATGTACAGCTCGAAATGATAAGGCTTCTATTAAACATACGAAAATTTTTTAAAACAATCTGAATTTTTGAAATTTATGGAAAAAACGGATTTTTTTTCATGTTTGATTATATATTTTTGAAACTAAGCCATTTTAGACATTCAGTCATATAAAATTTTTGTCTTGAATTTGTGTGAGGAATCATCTCTTGAAATCTTTTAGCATATTTAAGACACACCACATAGATGTGCCATACTATGTGTTGTAAACTAATCGTACAAAACGGTGGCAAATAGTTACACTGTATATAACTTATACATGAATGGAATTTAGTAAATACTTCGCTAAAAAAATCTATTAATTTTTATAATTAATTATATTGTTACCCATTGCAGGTCGATATATTCCAAATTGACTTCCATCTTCTCTTTTAAATAGTCCTTCTGAAATTGCCTTCGTGAATGTGTATGTATTCGGCCATTGTGAGGAGAATCTGTTCAAAAATGATAAGTTAGGTTCCTATATTTATGTTATATAATATATTTAATTATACTTTATTATTTTTGGAGTAGGAGAATTACTTAGAAATTTTCTCCTCAAATATATTTTCGGGTAGGTTCCGTGCGAATGTGATAAGATGTTTATGATTAATGGGATACGAATATATACATTCTTCAATATGTTTTACATGACAGTTTGAGTATATTGTTGACACATGAATAAATGACTGAAATAAATGATAAATTTAATTTATGTTTCTTTCTTAAAATAAGTAAAAATTTAATGACATGTATTAATTATATATACATGTATATGATATATATTATATATATATATTAATTATATATTAATAATTTTTGTTAATTACTATTGTTAAAACATATTGTTAGATCAATTACCTTCAAATTCGGCATGCGTTTTGCAAGTTTTAAGATGGTAGCAGTAGCATCAATGTTTACTATTGTAGAAATTTTGATCTTTCCGTAGAATTGCATATTTGCTGCCATATGAAAAATTATGGATACCTAATAATAATAATCGTTACACATTATTTTAAGTATAACAGAAATATAAAAAAAGGAGAGAATTTATTTCTTTGTTGACAGTTATCCCAGGTAGCACAGAGTTAAAAAAAAATTCAATGATATGTCATCAATTCTAAATTCATTTTCGGATGCAAAATGAATTTTTTTTCCGAATTCTTTTTTCTGAAAAAAATTATTGTCAAAAAATGAACTTTATTATATGTTTTCAAAAGAGGTCTATTTTGCAATAATTAACGAGATATTCATTTTTAAAGATTATCGAATAAGCACATATTCGGCCGTCCATTTCACCAAATGCACAAGTTACTAATTATTAAAAATTACCATATTAACCGAGCTTATCGCCTAATAATGCAAGCGCACAGCGAGATGCAGCAGCACAATGATCGAGGCTACTGAACACCTTATTAAACAATTTACCGTACGTAGCTATCTCGATCGCTGGACGATTACATGACATCTCACCATGCGTTTGCATTTAGCAATAGACTACGCTAATACAACGATATTTAATAATTAATAATTCGTTAACTATTACAAAGATTGAAAAGAGCACTTTTCAACAAGTTTAGTTCGCACTATTTGCATATGAAAATTGTCCTAAATATTCTGGGATACCTTGTATATAACATGTTATATGTATATAGTATAAGCTTTTTTAGATATACATTAATTTTTTACATTAAAATATAGTGTATACAGACGAAAGAGTAATAAGTATGATTTTAATTACATTTCTTATTAGCATGTTTCTATCAGTTTTTGACAATCCCAAACCTTTGATATTGGAATCTCCTGTGATTGGTACGATTTTTTTGCGAAAATTGGGTACTTCTTTTTTTATTCGATCATAAAGCTGTGGATTATGTAGATTTATATAACAATGATTCACAAATATATTATGTTTTGATATAGTTTGTGTATTAGATACTAACCGGACTTTCAAGCATTTCGTCCAATCGATTTTCAGGGCTTTTATCTTTTTGCGAACGTATCATCACATATATCATAGAAATATCAGGACAGCTTCGTAACAGTTTCTCGATCAACATTTTTCCAAGGAAGCCTGTACCTCCTACCAAACAAAATATAAACAAATTAGAAAAATAATACACATACTAGTGTGATAAAAAAATACCGGGCTGGTCCAATAAAATCAAGGTTGCGTGTTACTTCAAAAAAGTAAGGCATTCCCGTTACTTGAAAAGGAACAATTCGTTATTTTTTTTTATAATGCTGAAGTAAGTAATTAGATTTTAAAATTTCATTAGCTGATAATTTAATATTAAATGTGAAATAAATGTTCAAACTAGAAACTCTCCACTACAGTTTGTATATAGAGCAAGCTTTTGTCTATATTAAACTTACCTATCAGTTTTATTAATTCTTTATTTTCTTAATATCGTTATTTTACTGTATTCATTTTTATAATAATTTGGATTATACAGATAAATATACACATTAAATATCATTTTTAAACGTTAATGTTTCCTGGTGGAAATAAATCGGTGAAATCTTTATCAATAGATTCATTTCAGTATAATTTATGAAAATGAAATGAAATGAGTCAACTGATAGAGATTTCCACAATTTTCAATGATTTAAGCGATTTATTTGTATCAGAATTACTATTATTTGTATTTCAATATTTATTTGTATTTCAATATTGCCCGTACCGTAAAAATTTACAGTATAATATCATATATGTGATATGAATTATATATTTTCAACATTGGCAGTGTCTATTAGAACACAGTATGAAAAAAATATTAAGTACAAAATATTTTTTAAGAAATTAAAAATAAATTATAAAATAAGAAAATAATAGGGAACTGAAGTAACGGTAAAAGTAACGATTAAATTCATTATCATTATTGTAAAAATATAACGACGTTACCGTTATCGTTTCAGACACAATAAAGTAACGATTGTTGCACAGAAAAAAGTAACGAAAGCGTAATGGCGTTACTTCCTAATCTTGAATAAAACGCAAATACGAATTTATTCACATTCAAATTTATTTGATTCTCTTCAAAACAATCACCACTGCAATATATTTATGTCAACGTTACTTCCGATATATCTTTGACGCACATTAATAGTAAATTTTAGCTTTTAAAACGTGCAATGGTATTCTTTTTTATCGCGTTTATCCATTCAAAATGGTATCTATGAAGAAGAGTTCCACATCGCTAATTGACCAGTTTAAAATAAAATATTCTCATTGGTAAAGGAGTGAAAAGTTGGTAAGTTTGATTAGTTTGTAAAATATGCTATGATCCTTAACGGCCAAATCATGGCCGAAAATTTCAGAGTACTGGTGAAGGTTTAAGATTATATAAAAAAATTATATATAAAAGAATGCATTTTTTCAACATCTCTTACAAGATTCTCTTCTTAATATTAATATTTTATTATTCAATATATAGACAACAGCTACAAGCCAATATTATATGTTTATTAACAATATTAGAAGATAAAATTATAAAACAAAAGTAGAAAAATCAATAAAATTTATAACAGAATTTAATAACAAAATTTACGATGGACATACGTTTCAACTTCACACGAAATCATTTTCAATGTTGTTAAGTTCAATTTTATTAAGTTCTATTATCAATTTTATTGTTTTTTCTACTTTTGTTTTATAATTTTATCTTTTAATATTATTCATATGTATATTATATTGTCTCGTAACTATTATTTATATATTGGATTTTGAATCGTTTGAGCTGTTTTCTTATAATTTTAATTTTACTAATATTTAATTATTACTCTTGATAAATACCTGTAATAAAGATTGTGGTGTCTGCGTAAAAATCTTGTATCGGTGTTCTGTATCGGTCTCCAGTTTCCATATTGTATTTACAGCGAGGTCTGTGGTGTAGAGATTAAGACTCCTGAGTACTTCAATTTTAGCCAAGAACTCTGCGTTGACGATAGCGACATAGAATCAAATGACGATCTGATGCAAGATATAACATGAGATCCGTTCGGGCAGACGCTATTAGTTCTTTTTGTGTGTTTATCATTCTATCTTTGTTCTCTATAGAAAGAGAAACATAAAGTGTGTTCTCTTCGGCGCGCCAAGAGTGAACGAGACAGCGTGCTCCTTCTCACACTAGTCGCTGTTTCAAGTGACCGAAAATATTTTCGCAGCATTCTCGGCCGCTCGTGAACCTCGGCATCAAAAAGGGGCAAGGGACATTCTAAGGCCATATTCATACTGATAATGTTCACGAGCATTATTTGTTTTCATTTAACAAACAGTAAGGATAAAATAATTTTTAAGTGTTGTGAACGTGAATCAGACCGCGATTTAAATAACATATAAATTTTAATAAATTGTAATAATAGAGTGTACCCCTCCCATTAATCCATAATAGTATTGTTTGAGATCGGTAATTCGAAAGAAAAGCAAGAATTCTTTCAGTCGACCGACATTAATTGTCATTGAACGCATGCATAAATTGAGCTCGTGATTTCATCTCGAGCATGATCTTAATCCTCATTAAAATCATCAAATTCGTCGTTCTTTGTTCCTTTTAAAAACAATTCGTTACACGCAAACAAGTTGTCGTTACCGGCAACGGACAATCGAAGGTTCTAGAACAATTCAATTCGCGCACGCGAGCGCCGCGCTCCGACGAATACGTCACGCGCTGTCACCAATCCCACGCACGGATTTTCTGTCAAAATCGCCGTGCTAACCGTTTAGTGAAATCGCTATAAATCGAATCTTTCGAGAAGTGCCGAGAAAAATCGCCGTGCTAACCGTTTAGTGAAATCGCTATAAACCGAAACTTTCGAGAAGCTTCGAGGAAAATCGCCGAGATTTTCCATCACCGCGTTTCCAAGCTCAATTTGGAAAAGGTGACCGCATTTAATATTCTGTTAATCTGATCTTTAATTAATTATATCTTTTGACTTTGTAACTGAATACATTAAAGAAATTCTTTTGTTAAATTAAATGAAACGGAGTTCTCTTCACTGTCGTGCATCATATCAACCTTGTGCCGTTTTCTCACTCGAACCTTTTTCCGCGCGGTGCGCTCTCGCACAAGTATACATTATGTTAAGACTCAACAATTTACGAGATATTTAATTGTTTACAACTATTCATGCGCGTTATATACCTCCTTCATAAATTCGAGTAGTAAGAACGGGTCAGTAGAAGTTGAATTTTACCGGATAAAAATTATAAACTAGCATTTCTCTTCATCGAAAATTTTCGAAAGGTCATCAGAAAAGAAATACATATGTTTTAGACTCAAGATTTGTGAAGAAAATATGCGAAAGAAATCGAATAGTCCCAAAAAGCACGTTTTTCGTTTATAAAACGAAAGATATTGATTGTATGGAAAAAAGTTCAATATGAAAAATGTAGGTATTTGAAATAGCTACAAAATGAGACGTGGAACATTAAAATCGATCTATTAGTTAAATAGAAAAAAATTAAAAATAAAACCTTTTTTTCAATTGCTCTCTGTTCATTGAGATTTAAACGCAAGCTTTGAAATTCTCGTAAAATGCTAGCCCTCGTAATGACGAACAAATCTAGCTCTGAACGAGCCTGAAATGTTTATTAGTTTATGCAAAAAGCCATGTGTTCACTAAAAATCTGTCTGTGGAAAACTTAATTTCTTCGTCTTTGAGCAGTCGCACGGTAATTTATAGAGATGATTTTTCTTCTTCAAGAGTTGCATTATCATACTAGTAACAAAACGATTTTTATCACATATGCTTAATAACAAAACGATTTTTTGCAGTTAAATTGTTTTAAAATGTCTTTGAAAAGTGGGTATCTTTTTTATAAAAAAGTGGAATAATTCTGTTAATATCATATCAAATAGCCGCTCAGTAAACAAGAATGGATTAAAATGAATTGAAATTTTTTCTATCCGAATGCATATTTAAAATAGAATACATTTTTTTTATTTAATTGAATTCAATTAGATTCAATTGAATGCAATTCGATTGAAAAATTGCATTTTTCTTATTCAAAATTTTGAATAAGAAAAATGCAATTTTTCAATCGAATTGCATTCAATTGAATCTAATTGAATTCAATTAGATTCAATTGAATGCAATTCGATTGAAAAATTGCATTTTTCTTATTCAAAATTTTGAATTGAACAGTATTCACAATTGTGTGTATTGTGTGCTTGTGTGCACAGAAAAAGCTAAGATTATATTTAGATTGAAAGGCATAGAAATATGCTCCAAGCAATTCCTATAAATGAATAAAAATGCATTCACGATTGAAAAGCATTTCATTTTAACATTCGTGAATCAATATTTCTGAAAATCTGAATCCATTTCATTTCATTTCAATCCATTCTCGTTTGCAGGGGCCACATACGAGAATGGATTAAAATGGATTAAAATGGATTAAAATTTTTTTAATGCGTATTTTAAATCCATGAAAATGGATTGAATGGATTGAAATGGATTGGATTCGAGCTGACACTAGTTTAATATTCGAAAAAAAAACATTCATCTTTAAAGGTTACAAATTTTATTCCTAAGACATTTATAATAATTATATCTGAAATTAACTACTTCAAATTGACATTAAAAAACACATCTTAGTGGGCTTCGAATCTGAGATCTCTGGATTATGTGTGAATCTTCTACGTTACCCACTACACCACTTTTTTAATCGTAAATGTGTTATTCATTCTCTACATCAATTACCAACCACCCAGCAAACGAGAATGGATTGAAATAGATTATAATGGATTCAGATTTTCAGAAATACGGATTTATGAATTGTAAAATGCCGATGTGAGTGAGGCTGCCTTCCGTTTCATGCATGATGGATCATTTATTCTTGTTATTCACCGAATATTAAATAATGATAAATAATGATGCATTATGCACATTATGCATAAAACGGAATGCACTTCGAACCTTTGATATCGCATTGTACGCTAATGGGAATCCTCCCGTGGAATGATATTCATTGAATGTTGAGCATAAAATCACAAACAATAAGACAAGAAAAAGATATAAATTTAAAAATCTAAAAAAATTCAATATGTACAAATTCATCAGCCTTCAATATTTAAAATAACCTTAAATAGTATAATGAGCAACTGAGAGCATAACGCAGTTAATATCAGCATACATAATGTGATATAAATTTCGTGTTATATAGTATATTAGTATTGTTCGTTTTATCTCTCGCGAGCTGCTCAGGGTTGCTCCGAACTCAGCGTACTTGAAATGGAGGATTCACTACGACGTCAGTCACATGACGTCCGACATTCATCATTACAATGTAATATCAATGTTATTATGTAATTCAGAATAATAAAAAATATACTATGACCCTTAACGGCCAAATCATGAAGAATTTAAGATTATAAAAAAATTATATATAAAAGAGGTAAAGGTCTAAGGATGATCACCCCAAAATCAATGAAATTATATTCATTCGACGCGTTTTTGTGTAAAACGAAAGAATCTGGCAGAAATTAGCATTGCTCTGCCCCGCGAACCGAGATATTAAGCGTTAAAGTTAATGGCTATTGAGGGTAGAAAATCTGTTACAGCCCTACAATCACCTGTCTTCTACATACATTTCTGCATCTTTGATCTCATGCGCATGCGTTTCGTTATTTTTTGGTCCAACAGGCACGAAATTTAAAATGGGTTAGAAATATTTCAAGCGGACATTGTCTAGGCTGCAACTTTTAGACGGTTACGTTCCAAGCGGGTAAGATATGTTATTTATTTTTGTTCGGGGCGGCTATTCTGCCCTGAACTCAAGCACTACTGTCCACATACCCCATTGTCCACATGGGTTGCTAAGAAGCAAAACAAAGTTAACAGAAATAGTACACGTATTATTTAACAATTTTCCTATTCCAAATAAATCATAACTCATGTGGACAGCAGCTACATCGTCTCGAACAAAAAAATAACATATCCTATCCGCTTGGAACCTAAGAAGTTGCAGCCTGCTTGAAATATTTCTAACCCATTTTAAATTTCATACATTTTAAATTTCACATTACATTTTAAATAACGAAACGTATGCGCATGAGATCGAAATGCAGAAGAAATGTAGAAGACATGGCTATTGTAGGACTGTGACAGATTTTCTAATCTCAATAGTCATCAACGCTTAATATCTCAGTTCATAGGACAGAGCGACGCTTAGCATCGAATGAATATAATTCATCGATTTTTGAGTTGATCACCCTCTATTTGAGGATCACCCTTTACCATAAAAGAATATATTTTTTCAAGATCTCTTACAAGACTCTCTTTTTAATATTAATATTTTATTATTCAATATATAAACAAGAGCTACGAGCCAATATAATATAATTATTAACAATATTAGAAGATAAAATTATAAAACATAATAGAAAAAACAATATAAAATTGATCACAGAACTTAATAACAAAATTTACGATGGACATACGTTTTACCTCACACGAGGTCATTTTCAATGTTATTAAGTTCAATGTTATTAAGTTCTATTATCAATTTTATTGTTTTTTTCTACTTTTGTTTTATAATTTTATCTTCTAATATTGTTAATAAATATATTATATTGTCTCGTAGCTCTTCTTTATGTATATTGGATTTTGAATCGTTTGAGTTTTCTTATAATTTTAATTTTATTAATATTTTACTTTAATATTACTCTTGACAAATATCTGTAATAAAGATTGTCTATCTGGCGTAAAAACTTTGTATCGATGTGCTTCAGTTTTGATATTGTATTTCTCTGTTCTCTGTACCTTTTATTATGCGGAGCCCCTTAGGCCGGAATCGGACTTACGAGGTTTGTGAGATAGAGGTTAAAACTCCCGAGTACTTAAATTTAGTCAAGAACTCTGAGACTTTACTAAAGGGTCTCCACTCTGAGTTAACGATAGCGACATAAAATCAGATAACGGTTTGGCGGAAGAGATAACATGAGGTGCGTTCGGGGAGACACTAGGTACGGTCAACGCGATGCTCCAAATATTTTGAAGTATTTTTTAATTAGTCGGTTTGTAAAATTCTTTTTTCTAATTGATCCATCAAATGTTTCAAAGCATTTGTAGCGACTTT